AGAGGGTTTACTCTTGCATCCTTGAGACTGTTTGGAAAGTGACCAGAAGTTAGAGAAGTGTTGATGAAATGGGAGAGAAACGGTAGAATATCAGGAGCGATAGTCTGAAGGAGGTTTGAAGGGATAGGGTCCAGAGGACAGGTGGTAGGGCGGGCAGAGGTAATGAGGGTAAGAACCTCACTTGGAGAGAGAGGGGAGAAGGAGGTCAGTGTGTTGGTGGAAGGAGGGTCTGGTGACCCAGTGGTGAGTCAGAAAAAGAAGAGCGAATATCATCAACCTTTTTTTCAAAGTGGTTAACAAAGTTGCTTGACAGAAGGGAGGAGGGGGAAGGGGCTTTGGGGGGGTCCAGGAGGGAGGAGAAGATGGAAAATAGTTTTTTTCAGTATAAAGTTATTCCCCATAAAAAACATACAATACAATGAGCGGTTGTTTTCGTGACAGAATTTGTGTCAATGACGTAGTTACTATTGTATGAAATTCAAATAAATTGTAAAAAAAACATTCCTGTTACAAATAAATAACTGTGAATCAATCCGGCAAAAATATCACAAGTACGAACACACTCTTCTGTTCTCTTTTATCAAGAACGGAGATTGCTGCTTGTGTCTTTTTTCCCTTGACTATAGGAATATACCTGCAGCACTTCACACACACACACACACACACACACACACACACACACACACACACACACACACACACACACACACATACACACACACACGCACGCACACACTCCAGCAACATGCACACAGAAGCTAATAAACCAGTTATATTGAGTACCAAGGAGGGTCAGTGGAAATAATGGCTGGCTGCTCTTGACTCTTTCCCTCTCTCCCTCTCTCTGTCCTTTCTTTTCCCTCCCTTCTAAATTCAATTCTCTTTTCAATGTGAAGACCTACCCCCCCCTCTCTCTCCTCTTCTCTCCTCTATTCGCTCTCTCCTTCCTCTCTTCTTTTTCTTCCATCTAAATTCCCTTTTTAGCCCGTAGAGCGTTATTTCAGCTCAGGCCTGTTTTATTTGGTTTCAGTGGCTCTTGACACGGCACAGTCCTCTCAGGTTCATATATTTTGCAGCATCTGGCCTTCCTTTTATTTTTAATCAAACAAAAGAGGCTGAAAAGCAAAAATGTACATATTTGAAATGGAGAGACAGTTAACAAGTGTGTGTCCTTGTTCTGGTTCAAGGGTGCTGATGACCATTTTTAAATCAGAATCAGAATACCTTTATTAGTCCCACGGAGGGGACATGTGCGTAGTTACAGCAGGAAAAAGAGCCACAGACAGCTTAATGTTACATATGTTAAATATGTGACATGCATTAAAAAAAGTACTAAGTTATGATATAATAAAAAATATAATAAAAAATAAAAAGTTACATAAAAAATACACATCCTGTAACAGTTCTTAGGATTTAGCAGCCAGGTATATATTACACAGTTATTAACGGCATTTATATATTGCACATAGTTTGTTGGTATTTAGCAGCAAGGGGTGATATAGTCTGTGTTGTGGTGTGTGTGTGTGTGTGCGCGGGGGGGGGGGGGGGGGGGTCAACTAGGGGCTGTGCTGGTTGTATAGTCTGACCGATGCAGGAAGGAAAGACCTGCGGTATCTCTCCGTGATAATGTTTGTTTCAATCAACGATACCATTCAAAGGGATGCTATTTATTTTTCCACTTATTTTCTTACAAAACACAACGAGCTAGACAACATTAAAGAATCAACATACTTTTATGATTATTCACAGACACCACAAAGACATCAATTATACATTTAAAAAAAGGACAAAAGGATAAGGGGATGTAAACACTTATACAATTTGATATCGCCATATTAGGTTGTGTGAAACCTTATTATTTTAATCTTTAAATTTGTTTTATTTCGTCAATTTGACCATTTCAAGGACTGCAATCTGTTTGAATAGGCTTCACAAAGGACAAACCACATTAGTTTTTCAGATTATATTTGTGAATATGTTTAAATGAATAGTTTAAATGCAACAGTTGTTACAGACAGTGGCTCAGATTGCATACAAAGTAGTGATTATTGCAAATGCACATGAAATAAGATGTTGTGCCTATATGATGTTTTCTTCATACTATAACAGTTTTTCTTGAATTAGATGTATTATTGTCTAACCTCTGTATCATTATACATATGATATTGCCAGTTGTTTGCTAATTGGTTACTTAACCAGTTCAAGAGGAAATACAGAGAAATTATTTTCTCGAGGTACAGGGATGGGGAAGGTGTTCGACTATGTGTATGTGTACTGTATGTAGGTGTGTACATGTGCATATATGTATATACAGTATGTGTATGTGTGTGTATGTATATGTACATATGTGTATATGTATATATGTGTATGTGATGTGTGTATGTATATGTACATATGTGTATATGTATATATGTGTATGTGATGTGTGTATGTATATGTACATATGTGTATATGTATATATGTCAATTAACAGGTAAAGCAGATTAATAATAATAATAACAATATTAATTAATAATAATGATCATTATTACAGATTATAGATTATAAATCAATCATTTAGGGACAAGGGGGTGAGATGAAATATACTTCTTCTCACTCCTTTTTGAACACTAGATGTGGCACTGTTTATGTTGCTAATGCTGTTGTTGTTGTAAATGTAATTTTTTTTGGATTTCTCTTACATGACTATGCACTGCAACATTTGTTTTGTTTTGTATTTATTTTACTTGTTCGAAATAAAATCAATCAATCAATCAATCAATCAAGTAATCAATCAATCAATCAATCCATCCATCCATCCATCCATCCATCCTGTAGAGGAAACTTCTGTGTAGCTATGCAGTGGGAGTCACCGACTCAGGAAGGAGACACGGGAAGAGCAGTAGCTTTGATGTCAAACACATGATGGTTTATTTGGAGTTAACGGCCGGAGGATTCACATCACAAGTCCAAGAGTCAGAGGTTCTGACTTCACGGTAGAGTTGCCACGTCAATTCTGGAGAGCCTCTCTCTTGCCAGCCCATCTAACTGGTTTCGCAGAGAGTAAACAACATATTTGAGGAGATAGCCTAAACAGTGTGGGAACACAGAGCTACTTGCCTCGGACACTTATGACCTCGAAGATTTTACCTTGGAGTCCACAAATACAGAGAAGGAAGTGTCCCAGTGTACCCACAACACAGACCATCTGTATCCCAGTATTGACCGGTCACAGAATGGGAACAATAACATTATTGGCTAAGCCGCCTGTGTCCTTAAAGAAGGTAAACAGACATCGAGGTTTGTCCTGTATGTTACAAATTGGCATGATAATTGATGATGATAATTATTTCCACAACACATCCATCCATCCATCCATCCATCTATCCATCCATCCATCCATCCATCCATCCATCCATCTATCCATCCATCCATCCATCCATCCATCCATCCATCCATCCATCCATCCATCCATCCATCCATCCATCCATCCATCCATCCATCCATAGCCCAATAACACATGAACAGGCATGTATATTCTTGCATCACATTGACTTTTTGTAGGAGTAGCTTTTTCGGGTATTTATGCCTGAAGACATAATTTTTTTTACTTAAATCTCTAGTAAAGCTTATTTCTTTCGTAACTTTCATTTCATATGTTTGGTTTCTGTTGCCCTCCAGCCTTTTCTGTGGTTAAATCTTTGACTTAATGCCTGTCTGTGTGACTGTACGTGTGTGATGTTGGTGTGTGTTAAATATAAATGATAACAGCCTTTAGCGATCGGTCTCTGGTCAAAGAGACACTATGCTGATGATTCCCCTGGACTCTGCTCGATGAGATTTATTTCTTGTTTATTTTCTGATTGGATATCGGCTGCCAGCTCTTTCGAGATGAGACCTGCTGTAATTAGTGATCTAGTATTTTGTTCTTGTCACACAAGCTGAGGTAAACAATGATTTGATCATATTTACCTGCTGAGAGCTGTTTGTTCTGCAGTTGTTAGATACAAAAGAGAGAAGGCAGGGTGAGCCACTGAATACTTTTCTTGCAGAGTAGTATTATTTGCTACATGAAAGGAGGAGGAAATCTGTATTATCAGAGACCTTGTTGCGCTATCTGCACATTCAGTCAGCCCTGATGCAGTATTATCCCAACCTAAAATGGTATCCTGAAAGAGAAAATAACAGCATGATGGCGTGTTGCTGCAACTTGAAAGCATGAAAGGGTGGAGAGTTCTAAGGTACTTTAGAGCCCTTATGTGTGGAAGTGTGCGTGATTATATCTCCCAGATTATTCTGATAGCGTAAGTGTTTGTTTGTAAAAAAATAACACATTTGAAGGAAACCATGCACAGACCTTCATGTTGCATGTTGGCTTACAGGCCACACAATATGAGAATCACATTACTGAATATTCTGATAGCGATATTACTTATAAATATAATAACGATAGATAAACAGATACATACTTGAATGTACTTTAGTGTGGTTTTGAAATGCTTTTAATAGTCTCCCTTATAATGTGTCTGGTTTATCATAGGTAAGATATTATAAACACAATGTTAAGTCTGATCAAATAAATGTGTTTTGACCATTTAGTAGTTAGGGTTGGATAGTTTCAGTGCATTTGGTTAGTGTTGTGTGTTTATTTTTTAGCTTGTTATTCTTGTATAACACTTGAACTCTCTCAAAATCTAGATGTGTGAATAACATATTGTAAATACTTTATTAACTGTCTTGGCCCCTATTCTAAAGCTTTGGAGAGTTTCTCCGGGTAACGCACAACTCCATTATTTCTCTTGATAGTACTTTGAATTGCATTTTAATTGTTTGTAAATATATTAAATTGAATTGAATCCCATTGATGTGTTTCTTATTGCTAATTAAACTAAAACATAACACATTTCACCATAAACTCTATTTATGATCTGTTGACCACTGTTTCCCACGCAGCAGATGATGTTTACAGTACACTGAGTTTAAAACATCATGACCTCACTTTGTCTCTCCGCTGCCTCCAGATGTTCCAACGGATTCTTCGGCCGGCCCTCTGAGCCCGGGGGATCCTGTCAGCCCTGCGATTGCCATGACAACCTGGACCTGTCCATACCCGGCAGCTGCGATCCGATCACAGGCCAGTGTCTGCTCTGTCGTCAAGGTTACGGCGGCTCGTCTTGCGACAGTTGCGCTGACGGTTACCACGGAGACGCGATCACAGCGAAAAACTGCCAACGTGAGTAAACTGACGCAAAACAAGCGTTAAAACTAGACAAAAGAGACGAAAACATGATTAAACTTGATTAGATTAGATTGGATTATTCGATTGGATTATTCGATTGGATACACTTTATTAATCTCACATTTGAACGGGCATTACCGATAGCCAAAAACTTTAATAAAAGAAAATGCATAAAAGATAATAACCAACATAAGATGATATATTTGAAAGTGTGAAAAGTGGTTGCAGTAATCCTTCTATCAGAAGAATGATATGTCAGTCTTTAAAAGTAATACACAAATAATTTAAAGAACCCAAGTAAGGTTTTGGGGGTTTTCCTTTTCTTATAGTGTGTTATAAAGGTATTTGTGCATGTAGTTGGTCTGCAAAGGCACAACATACAAATATGAACCTGGAAATGAGCTCTTAAGGCATACATATAGTACAGTATATCAAATATTATACTAACTGCCAGCCCACGAAAACCTGAGAATTGTTTTTAAAAAAGAAATATGGGAATTGACAAGTTTATTGTGATAGTTTTAGTTGCTGTGGCCAGATTGCAACAAATAAACTCATATGGACTTCAAGCGGTAAAACATTATCTACTTTTCAAAAAACGAAATCATTTTAAAACCAGCCAATGTGCAGCGTTAGTGTCTCAGCAGGGGTGTTAAACTTAACAGTAGTATTTCCTCTCTGAAACTCAATTTTAGCTAAATGACACCTTTAATCCTTTTACTAAAACACTGAGTAGATGCACCATCTGGAGTGTGTGTGTGTGTGTGTGTGTGTGTGTGTGTGTGTGTGTGTGTGTGTGTGTGTGTGTGTGTGTGTGTGTGTGTGTGTGTGTGTGTGTGTGTGTGTGTGTGTGTGTGTGTGTGTGTGTGTGTGTGTGTGTGTGTGTGTGTGTGTGTGACTCTGCGTCGGCAAGCAGCTGTGCTAGTAGGAGTAGGTGTGATGTCGGAGCGGCCCACTGACTGCCAGCTGTGTTAAAGAGTGAGAATTAAAAAAAACGATACCTGTAAAAAAGGAACTGAACAAGAGAGGAAGAGATGGCAGCAAATACAGACGTGCAGATGGCGCTTGTTTGGGAAGATCTTCATTAAAAACCTGTGCTGTTGACGAAAACTGTGGCTCAAGCAGAGAGACAGGCAGAAAGACAGATAACCAGAGAGAGAGACAGGCGATACATATACAGATAAAACTCTGAGACTAGCAGGGAGACAGGCTGACAGCGGTATTAATGTGTATTTGATAGTTCATTGTTCTGTAGTTGTTTCCCTCTCCACCCAGCTAAATGGTTATTGATTAATCAGCCTGATCTATTGCTCTCCTACAGTGCTGATCGGCTGCTCGTGTCTTGGAGGGTTGATATTGATCCTGTACGCATGACCACCAGGAATTATTCAAACACAACAACTCTCTCTCTCTCTCTCTCTCTCTCTCTCTCTCTCTCTCTGCTTCTGTCAGTATCGCCCTTCTGTCTGCTCTACCTATTGCTCCCAGTCTTAATGAATTTTATTGAGTGGAGCAGGAGAGTTCAGACCGAGTCCATTTGCGCACTATTAGACTGTAAAAATCCGTTAAACTTGTTTTGTCCCCCCATCTGTGGGCCTTTCTGCTGCCTCCCCCTAATAGCGGTTCAGAGTAATTCAGTAGAGGAATAGAACATAGTTTGATTTTGCTAGCAAACTTGACCACAGAGCAATTTGTATAAGGAATACATTCAGGAAAATGAACTCCTCTGACCATTCCTCACGTGGGGAAAAGTCGTTGTAAAGATGTGAGAATTGCACTGTCACACACTGTCTCCAATCACTGGAACAAAGTGGATGTGTAGTAATTCAATAATGTAATTATGCTTCCTCTATGTCTGACCCTTAATGAATGCTATGTAGAAACTTCATACAATAAATCAATACACTTTTCAGCGATGATGAGAAAACTCACAATTTCTCCACTCCTAATGGTGCTGCAGTCCTCTGTGCTGATGCTCTGGCTTTTTATTCAACTAATAGGCCTCAAACAGAACAATTAAAAGCCTAAACACATTGTTTAAAGAGTCTGAACCAACAGTGTGGTAATTCCCAAATCAGGGCAGCGTTTAATGAATCACAAACAAGAACAACATTTTCTCTTTTTATGATCATACCTTTGATTCACTTTCACTCAACATGTCCATTTGTATTGCATCAAAAGAAAGTGGAGGACACACCAACACATTTCATAAAGACAACTTGTTTTTGTATTTAAAGTACATGCATTTATAATTGAATGCATACTGAGTAAGTTCTTCTACTATCCCATATGGGTGCAGATGGCTCTTTTTTTACATAATACATTACTTTACATGGCTTGATTTAGGGGACACAAAATGATTAAAACCCAACCTAAAGGAAATGACTGATGTTTGGTAAAACCATAGACATGAATTGAGAGTGGAATGGACATGTATCTGTTTGCTGTGGTACTTTATAGTTCAAAATCAAATGATCCAAGAACTAGGGTTGCTCGATTATGGCAAAAATCATAATCTCGATTATTTGGGTCAATAATTGATATCTATTAAAAACTTTCATTTACTTTGAAAACATCCATTTATTGAAAAAGAACATTTGAACAGTATGTTTTTAACAGTTGATTACCCTGAACTTTAAATATAATTCAACTGAAAAACCAAAAAAATTAAAATAAAATGGTGTTATTTCAATTATGTTGTTTTCATAATTGTTGCAAGCCAAAATCGTAATTGCGATTAAAATACGATGAATTGAGCAGCCCTACAAGAACTCTGCATTGAAAGAGAATGTGTTCTCACAACAGGCTGCCACTCTGACCATCCTACTTTGTTCAATTAATCAGGAATCTATAGAAAAAAACACTCTCAAATACAGAATATCCTCTTGGCATTTCTGGCCTGTCAATCTTTTGATTCCTCAACGCTACGATTTGGTATAGGGTTCTAGTAAGAGTGGTTCTCAAAGACTTCTTTTACCCTTTCCAAAACAAACTCAGGCATCAGTTAGTCATAAAACATTACTAATCACATTTCATAATCTACTCTGTGCGGGAGCCAAACAAATATATTTTGAGCGTGTAATTGATGTTTTCATGCTTGTATTACACAATGTTCTGTTTCTGTTGTTTCCCCTCAAGGCGTCCAACACCAAATCTCATCAGAACAGACATGTTTCACTTCTATGTTTCCTTGTTTACCTAGAGTGTGGACTCAATTTGCTCTCGGTGTGTTTTGTATGACACCTAATAGATTGTATAGCGCCTCGACTTCTCACCAACACACCATTGTAGAACTAATGATATACAATAAAGGCACAATAGCTACTCCTACGGTTTGTTTGCACGACAGATTGTGGTGTTCTTGTTAACAGAAAATAATGTATTTCAAGTTGCAAAAAAAATGTTTTCTTCATCATCAAGGCTAGTGCTGAATAAAATAAAAAAACACAACAGAAAGCAACACTTTATCACACAACAAGGCTCGCATTGTAGCGACTAACAGAACAGTGTCCAGATGGTCGCCGAAGGGTAAAGCTAGAGGGGCGAGGGACTGTGTGTGAGGGACTGTGTGTGTGAGGGAGTGTGTGTAGAAAGAGACGGACATGTATGTGCATGTTTTTCTTCTGTGATTAATCAGGCATGTGTGTGTTTGTACATCTGAATGTATGTGGTTGCTTATGTGTGTGTGGGAGGACATGCGTGCCTCTCTGCATTCATGTGTAAAGCAGGAATAGATAAATCTTCCACCGTATGTGGTGTGGTGGTGTGTGTGTGTGTGTGTGTGTGTGTGTGTGTGTGTGTGTGTGTGTGTGTGTGTGTGTGTGTGTGTGTGTGTGTGTGTGTGTGTGTGTGTGTGTGTGTGTGTGTGTGTGTGTGTGTGTGTGTGTGTGTGTGTGTGTGTGTGTGTGTGTGTGTGTGTGTGTGTGTGTGTGTGTGTTCATGTGTGTGGACATCTGTTGTACCCCTCTATCTCTCACTTCCTCATCGCACACTCAGGTCCGTCCTTCTGTCTCTTTCACATCTAATAGAGAATAACACGAGGTAAAACCAGTCCACGTGTGTGTCTGTGATGTGGAGTGTGCTACTGATTTCTTGAGAAAGGTGTGTGTGTTTTTGATGTGTATGCGTGTGTGCTTCTGACAGCCGATCCAGCAGATGGGAGCCGTGTTGTTCAAGCTTTTAATTGTTTATCTAAGGGGCTGATTGGTGTGTGTGTAGGTGTGTCTTTTTTTTTTCCTTTTCCCATAGGATTTAAACAAGTTAAATAAAGTTGAAGTATCACTGATAGAAAGAGAGACCGATTATAAAGTAACTCACCCATTCGTGCTGCTTTTAAACTCTTCCGTGACAAAGGCCATGAATTCAACGCCAGAGAAATAAGGAAGAGATGAGAATCGTTTTATCATTAATAAGTTTTCAGTGATTGTAATCATTACTAAATACCATGAACTCACCTAAAACTGCTTTTTTTTACCGTAAAGATGATTTAAAGGGGACCCTATTGTGCTCATTTTCCCTCTGAAGGGAACTTTGGGATTTTTGTCGCTGCAGACCGTTTACATGCACAAAAAACGATATAACACACTACAGGAAAGGGAAAACTCAACCAGCATATTCGGGCCTCTTTAATCGTTGTTAGTGTGTGTAACTTGTCTTTTTAAGGGAATTTAATCCTGTGTATGTGGACCGTTTTTAGCCTCAGCAATCATCACAAGCACCCCACTGTTTCCTCACCATCAGATCCAAGTAGTGCGTACTTCCTTGTTATTTATAACACAAGCTTTATTTTGGACTTGTTTTTTCTCTCAGTGTCTGTCCTAAACACCAGATTAAAAAACAAAGTATTTTAGGATCTCGTGTGTGTTTTGAGTCTTTTATATTGACAGTGGAGATGGCAGGACATGAGGGAGAGAGCTGTGACAAATAGACTCTGGAGATGTTGTTTTAATTAGTAAGATGCCTAAGCCATTTCCTAGTGGTAAACTATTTATTTCTTAACCAGATGTACTGATCATTGCACATTTAAAGGTCCCATGTCATGGCCATTTCTACTGAACATAATTCCATTGTTGAGGTCTACTCGAATAGATCTGAATTGTGCAATTTTCCAAACTCACATTGGTTTCTCATAGAGCATCTCTGTAGTATGTGTATTCACTCTCTGTCCTAAACGGCTTGTTGGAGCTCCTGCCCCCCCCCCCCCTCCCTGTGAGCCCAGTGTGCTCTGATTGGTCGGGACGTTGCGAGGCTCGTTGCTGCGAGGAGCGGACAGGTTTCCGGGTCGGCGATACAGCGAAACACAGCGAAACTCATCCTGTGCACACACAAACAATCACAGCCGAAGTAAAAACAATAAGTGTGGCTTGATATTGAGAAAGAAAAAGGTTTAGAAAGCTGTGAGAATGGGTCTGCGCCTCTGAGAGCATTTCTCCGCCATCCCAACTCGTCTATTACCAGCGTTCAGGGAGCTCTATGTAATCAATGGGGACTCCTTGTTAGTTAGCCAAGGGATCCTGGTGTGTGAGGTGCTCCGCGGATTGGTCCATTTGGGCCATTTGTTGTTGACTTGGGTGTTCACACGTCACAGAACCCAGGAAGCAAACAATGGAAAATGAGAAATCTCAGCATAGACAGGTATTTTCTGTGCTTTTGACTCTGCAGACCATTTACATGCATAAAAACCTTCATAACACACAAGGGGACGGGTAATAACCGGAAAAGCATGACATGGGACCTTTAAGACCCACATATCTTGGTGATTTCTCAATGTGGCTGCAGGAAGCAGATTTGTTCCTCTCACTCCAACTGAACTTTACCTAATTCAATTATTTTTTTAGCTGGCAACTTTTCAGAGGATATGTTTAAATTGTCTTGGCTGGCTTTTCGTAGCTTCAGGGACAGTTCGTGAGTATCTGAGTCCAGTGTTTTATTTCCCTTAGCACCAACAAAAAAAAACTTTTCAGACAGCTTTCAAAGCCCTAATGTGGTTGTAAGTTGGCATCTAAACTGAAGACAAATAAATATAATAATACAAAAATCATTCTAGTCATCTTTCATGTTGTCAGTGTTTGGTTTGTTGTGGACTTTCACTCAATCTTTGTGATTGCAGTTTTGTCTAGACAGAGAACTCACACTCGGCTAAACTAAACACCAGCTTTTCTATACAATCTACATTCTGAATTTTAAGAACATTTGATGTTGTCCTCTGCTGCACCATTGCTTTGTCATTAGACTCAAACTTAAACTGGGTGTCGTTTTAATATACAAAACTTAATCTGTCAAAAATAATTCAGCCCACTGGACTGAAGAGTCTATTTGGGCGAGAGCAGATTTTCTCCAAAGTGCAGTCAGAGGGATATTAAAATGCATATTGACAGATAATCCTGAAGAAGACCTTAAGTAGGATTTGAGCTCATGCAGCAGACTGTAGTGTGAAGGAAACACTCACCAACCAGTGTTGTTGTTGAACTAAGGTTTTATTTGATGTACTCATGTAGAATGAGGCCGTTAGTAAATGATTATTGATTAAATATGCTCTCTCCTCTCCTCTCGTCTCCTCCCTCCTCTCCTCTCCTCTCCTCTCCTCTCCTCTCCTCTCCTCTCCTCTCCTCTCCTCTCCTCTCCTCCCCTCCTCTCCTCTCCTCTCCTCTCTTACAGCCTGTCAGTGTCACACTAATGGCTCTGTATCTGAGGTTTGCAACAAGGAGACTGGACGGTGCGAGTGCAAAGAAAATGTGGCTGGACGACAGTGTGACGAGTGCATTGTAAGTATTTTGTATTGGCACCTTTACTTTATAGACTATTAGTTCATCTATTTTCCACATATACTTCCCCCTTTCTCTTCTTTGCACAATTTCACCACGCTTGAATATTAGATATTAAGGTAATATACTGTAGAGACCTCCAAGTTCTTGTTTCTCATCACTACCTGCAGAAATTAATTTGTTATGACTATTTTTCTTCCAATGGCAGTAATTAGGCTGTGATGGCAAACCCACAAATGTATAGCTTTGCAAGACAAAGAAGATGCATAATTATATTAAAATGTCACATAACATAACATTCACACTTAAACTGATAAGTTGCGAATATGGAAGGTCATCAAGTGTTTTCTTTTATTTTCTAAAGTAAGTTTGTGGTCTCTTTTTGTGACAATAATACAATGATCCTGATGAATAAGGATTTTTCTCCACAAAACAGCTGTATTTTCGTTTTTACAATCTTTTTTTGAGTTCTTTCCTCCTTGTACTTTGAGTGTGTTGTTTCTCTCTGTCCTGCTGACCCCCTCTCTGCGCTGTGATTGGTCCAGCCTAACTGCTGGTGGGACGCTGAGCTGCAGGACTGTGTCCCCTGTGGCTGCAGCCCCCCCGGTTCCATGTCTCAGCGCTGCGACGTCGAGGGCCGCTGCATCTGTCGGCCCGGCTTTGTGGGCCGGCACTGTGGCCTGCGTCGCCAAGGTTACGAGAGGCGGGAGACCCGAAGGCCAGTGGAGCGTGTTCCCCTCGCAGCCGTGCATCAGAGATGGGGGGGCTCCTCCCGCACGGGGGGGTGTCCCAGGGGGGCGTACAGGCCGAGCACAGGGGTAACACACCGGGCATGGTGTGTTTAAGTAGCATGGGTGTGTTTACAAAATGTCAATGTTGCTGAAGAAGACAAAGGAATGAAAACAAGCATTAACTCGATGTGTTTGTGGATGGGATGGTTTGACGTTCAAGTTTTTAAACCGGGCATGGTGTTTATTTTATGTGAATTTAAAATATTGGTGTTGATGAAGAAGACGTTGAAAAACAATTTTTATTGTCCATCAAGTATTGAAATCTTTGTGTTTGTGGATTGGATGGTTTGAGGTTAGAGTTTTTAAACGTTGCATGGAAAGTGAGGTGTTCATCTCGTGTTCTATGGAGAGTTTTACTGGCACAGAGTTATTCTGAGAGACATTTGGTTTGAAGTGGTTTGAAGATGTGTCCAAGTGAAGAACAAATGCAAACATGAAACACTTCTTAATATCAACGTTACAATGAGATCATTAGAAAATGTCCCTTCTTTAAGTAGCTCAAGGTGTTTGTTGTTGCTGAACTTGTGTTGAAACTGTTATTATGTTTAGGCCAATCTTCATGACTTTTCAGATGAACTGTAACTAATTCAATGTTTTTTATCCGGCATCAGGGGCAGTTTGTGAATGTTTTTGTCCAGGCTGATGAACCACCATGCATGGCATTTTGTTTTAGTTTCTTTAGCAGCCACAAGGAGGCATTTTCAAACTATCAGATAGCTTTTTAGTCAAATAAAAAAATAAAAAAATGAATAGCATCTTCAACTCATCTTTGATTTTCTCTCTTTGTTCAAGAATAATACCTTCAAAAGGGTCACAAGTCTTGAAACTCACAAATATAAACACAATTATTGCCTCATTTTTCCGCCACCTGCTCTTTTTCATTCAAAACAAGTCTTGCATCTTATGTCCTTTCTCATTCTCACAACCTCTGTGTGTCTAAGTTGCTTGAGTGTGTCTGCAACTTGTCTTACCCTAAATCCACGTCCTCTTCTAAACTCCATTTTAACCCCGTCTTTCTGTGTTTCTGCAGCCTCAGACTCACGGCATCAGCACCGGAGGAGTGTGTGTCCCGTGTCACTGTAACTCGTTCGGGTCCAAGTCGTTCGACTGTGATGAAGCCGGTCAGTGTCGCTGCCAGCCCGGCGTCTCCGGACCCAAATGTGACCGCTGCTCTCGAGGATTCTTCAACTTCCAGGAGGGCGGCTGCACACGTAAGCATAGAGGTTCAAGGTTCAGGGTTCAAGGTTTCAAGGCTTTTATTGTCATGTGTTCATAGCTACAGTGTAGTTATGACAACGAAATCCTTAGGTCACAGACTCGTCCAACAGTGCAACACAATACAACTGATAATAGTGCAAGTAAATAAAGTCAAATAGAATATAATAGAAATTGTGCAGAATAGTCTACTGTATAAGTATTTGGAATATTGATATGTATAAGTTACAAACAGATGAATGTTATGGATGTTCTTTCAAAAGTGCAGGTGTTAGAGAGTCCCATAAAGAGGGAGCTGTTTCGTAAAAAAACAGACAGAACAAAAGTAATAATAATAATAATACACTTTATTTGTATAGCACCCAAAGTCATTTACAGAACAAGAAGAAAACATAACAACAATATTAAAATAAATAGAGAACAAGATAAAACATCAACAGTGATCCTAATGAAATGCCCTTGAAGTAAAGCTCACAAGAAATCAAAATAGGTTAAAATAAAACAGTTAAAAAAATAAAAGCAAAACAGAAAAAATACAGAAAAACATGGACAATGATACCAGTGAGAATTGAAAGTTAACCCAAATTAAAAGCCATATTAAAAAAGATTACTTTTAAACATTTCAAGGGAGTTTGCTGCACTGACAACATCAAAGCATTTCATATTTGTGTTTGAACCGTTTTGCAATGAATGAAATGTCAGCAGACACAAATTGCTCTCCCCATTAAACCGCTGCTCTGTTCTTTCGTTTTTTAATTTAAAGTTTACACAAATTGTCTGCTGTGCAATTCCACTTAAAAAAAGCTATTGTGTAATCTTAAAAGTGCGTGTGTACCGTGTGTACTCGTTCACATCATGGTGGCAGTTTTGTAATGGTTGCTTAGCAAAATCTTTGTGCCTACAAGCAGAGCATTTGTCTGTGCAGGCATGTCTTTCTGTTCCAGTTTAACTACAAAGAGTAAATGTAGCCGAGAGAAACTGGCTGCTGATTGATAGAAGCTTGGACACACATACAAATAATGATAGGACAAAATAATTATGGAGCTTCCAGATTTGTTATTCATCTTGGATGGTGAACACGCAAAACAGCTGTTCATTATTTGTAATATTGAATAATGTTTAGGGAAGAGATCATTAGGTTAATCAAATCAAAGTAAGTCAATATTACGGTGAAATCTATTTCGACCCAAAGTAATTGTTTATCAATTAATGGTTGGTGGAAACCCCGACATAAGATACCTTTATAAAACTCTGTGTGTGAAGGTTGTCTGCAAATAAGACGGGTAATTGTCAGTTTACAGCATGGCATTTAGATGTATTTGTATTAACATTAATCAAAACTATTCTCTATATCATTCCAATAGCTTTCATTATAGACTCTTATTTCACTATTTCACATTTTTTAAACTATTTTTCTTTTTGTATTTACTTAATATTTACTTGCACTATATTTGTCTGTTTTTCTGTATTATTATGTTGCATTGTTGGAGAAGCCTGTGACCTAAGATCTTCATCGACATAACTACTCTGTAGCTATGACAACTAAAGAATCTTGAACCTTCTCTTTAATTAATTATCATCCTGTTTTTTTATTTGCGCTTGATGTAGAATTACATAACGTCTAGCTTATTCAATTTTCACAGTGATCCAGGAAGCCGTGATTCATATTTAAATCAGCAGGGATTTAACACCAAACACAGTCTGTACTCACACCTCAAATTAAAGGTCAAAATATGTCCAAATTGTTGAACAGCAAGCCTCTAAATTCAAACTTGCAGTAGCCGGAAATGGATATGTTGGAAATAGAGATGGAGTTACTCTTGTAAATGTTCTAAGGTACAAATTATTCCGTTTGAGGCTTTGCTATAAAAGACAGTATCCCTGGTAAAGGGAAGACTTATTGATTTCCATATCTTGTTCATTGTATTAAAACACAATATTGATCGGTGAAATTAACAAAAGGTTTACATCAGAAGACAATTATCTGTTTGTTGTCAGAGCTGAGGATTTTCATGATCATCCCCTAAGGGTGTGTTACATCATCTGAAGATACTTTAGTCATTTATAAAGGCCTATAAATATATGGGAACAAGTTGACATTATTAATCATATGCCCTACAAACTTGGCACCGCAGGCCGCAGGTGCAGCAAACTTTAGCTGAGCAAAAAGAGGATTAAGCATCCAGACACCTAAACTATAAAAAGCTTTTCCCACATATCTGCTTATGCAATGTATAATTGATGCCAACCAGCAATAACAGCCAAGAGAAAGAGAACCAAGTTAGCCAGAAAGAAAGAAAAGATAGGACTGGGAATTATTTGTTTGATTCATCTTCAGATCAGCAGCTCAGTGCAGCAGTCAGGTTACAGAAACAATATGTTTCATGTTACAAGGCAAGGCAAGGCAAGTTTATTTATATAGCACTTTTCAACACAAGGCAATTCAAAGTGCTTTACAAAAAATGAAAGACATTAAGAAAATGGCATCTAAAATCAGTCATTAAAAAGAAAAGATAATAAAATAAACATTAAAAGAAAAAGTACATGGATAAAAGTTACAGTGCAGTCTAAGATATGAATAGTTCAATTAAAAGCAGCGACAAAAAGAAAAGTCTTCAGCCTGGATTTAAAGTATTCAGAGTAATTTAGCAGGAGGTCAGAAATGTATTTTGGGCCTAAACCATTCAGTGCTTTATAAACCAGCAGCAGTATTTTTGAAATCTATTCTTTGACACACAGGAAGCCAGTGTAAAGACTTCAGAACAGGAGTGATGTGATCCACTTTCTTAGTGTTAGTGAGGACTCGAGCAGCGGCGTTCTGAATCAGCTGCAGCTTTCTAATAGATTTTTTAGTGAGACCTATGAAAACACCATTACAGTAGTCGAGTCTACTGAAGATAAAAGCATGGACAAGGTTTTCCAAATCCTGCTGTGACATTAGTCTTTTAATCCTAGATATATTCTTTAGGTGATAGTAGGCTGATTTAGTAACTGTTTTAATGTGTTTTAATGTTAATTGGAGAAAGTTCTGACACATCCAGTCATTGATTTGTTCAATGCACTTACTCAGTGTTTGAATTGGAGCATAGTCTCCTGGTGAAATTGTTACGTACATTTGTGTGTCATCTGCATAGCTATGGTAACTTATTTTGTTGTTTTTCATTATCTGAGCCAGTGGTAGCATGTAGATGTTAAAGAGAAGAGGCCCCAAGATGGAGCCTTGAGGAACCCCACATGTCATATTTGTCAACTCAGATGTGTATTTACCTATAGAAACGAAGTTGTTTCTGTCCTTTAAGTAGGATTAAAACTAATTTAGAACTGTTTCCGAAAGTCCCACCCAGTTTTCCAGTCGGTCTAGTAATATGCTGTGGTCAACAGTGTCAAACGCAGCACTAATAATACTAACACTGAAGTTCTGCCACTGTCTGTGTTTAAGTGGATGTCATTAAAGACCTTTACAAGAGCAGTCTCAGTGCTGTGGTTTGGACGAAAGCCTGACTGGAACACATCGAAACAGTTATTTAAATGCAAGAAATTACTCAACTGTTGAAAAACAACCTTTTCAATGATTTTACCTAGAAATGGGAGGTTTGATATGGGCCTGTAATTGTTCATTACTGAAGCATCTAGATTATTCTTTTTTAAGAGCGGTTTAATGACTGCAGTTTTCAGGGCCTGTGGAAAAATACCTGAGTGAAGAGATTTGTTTACTATATGAAGTAGATCTGAGGCCATGCAAGGAAAAACATCTTTGAAAAATCCTGTTGGAATAATATCAAGGCAGCAGGAGGAGGATTTCAGAAGTTGTATAATGTCCTCTAGGTTTTTATCATTAATCTGATGGAATTGTGTCATGGTGTTTGAATTGATGTTAAGTGGACACAGAGACAACACATTTGCTGTTCCTGAGGCAGAGGCACTGACTGCTTGTCTGATTTTCTGAATGTTGTCAGTGAAAAAGGAGGCAAAATCATTGCACGCCCTGGTGGATAGAAATTCAGAGGCTACTGACACTGGGGGGTTAGTTAGTCTGTTGACGGTAGCAAACAAGGCACGTGCGTTGTTTTTGTTTTTGGTAATGATGTCAGAGAAGAACGATTGTCGTGCGTTTTTCAATTCCAAATTATAAAGGCCAAGTCTCTCTTTATAGATTTCAAAGTGAACCTGGAGATTTGTTTTTCGCCACCTGCGTTCAGCTTTTCGACATTCTCTTTTTTCTGCTCTCACGGTCATGGCCTTTCTCCATGGAGATATTTTCTTGCCAGACACTTCCTTTACCTTAGTTGGAGCAATGGCATCTATCATTTTTTTAATTTTTGAATTAAAATGACCTACTAGCCAATTTACTGAGATGTTAGCAGGGGCAAGTGTGGAAGAAAAATTCTGAGTAAACATTTCCCGAGTATTTTCAGTTCAATATCGCTTTGTGGTTACCTCTTTTTGAAAAAAATTGTGAACAGAAATAGAGCTCTCAAAGAAAACACAGGAATGGTCAGAGAGTGCAATTTACTGAAGGTAAGTCGGAATACAAATACGTTTCAAGCTGTGGGCAGAAATGACAGAAAGAGCCATGACTAGCTGATGACACTTTCATTAAGAATTCACATGAATTATTCAGGTATTCCATTAGATTTCAGGAATGTTCATTACATTGAAATATAACAAATATAATGCAACTCTCCTGTAAAAATGACTTTCCATTTCATGAGTATTATTATTTCAATTCAATCAGCGAGCTGAATGAGAAAGAGAGTCCTCTGGCAGTGGAAATAGTGTTTTCTATGGGGTGTGGGTGATTGAATAAGTTAATTGGTTGGGAAAATAAATTGAAATGAATGGCACTGGGGGGTTTGGGGTGTTACCTTAAACAACTGAATCTTTCGTCCACTAACTCAATCAATTACCCTTTAAAATTCCTTCTTTTTACAGTCATGTTTCTGTAAGCCTGCTTTAAAAAAGACAAACAAAGAACGTAAAAACCTCCTTTGCAGAACTAAAAACACACTGTGACCAAAATATGTTCCCCTAGGTCATGGGTCGGCAACAGGCGGCCCGCGGGCCATTGTTGGCCCGCCAGCAATCATATTTGGCCCGTAATTTTGAGAATATAATTTTTTTTTTTTTTTTGTATTTTTTTTTTACAACATAGGACCGACAGTCGCACATCGGGGTTTCCGTTAGCCGCCGATCGATCGGCCGCCGGTCATTATCGGCCGCCGGTCATTATCGGCCGCCGGTCATTATCGGCCGATATTCACTCTTAATAGTTTGATCGGTGCTCTCTATAAAGTCCGATCAGGAGAGCTGGATCTGATCGATATGGACATAAACGCGAGTGAAGTGTAACCGGACCCGAGAGAGAGATCAGATCAGCTGCTGAGTCTGATGGAGACACGCAGCTCTGCATGATCACCCAACCCAGTCTCACGGCATTTCGTGTTCCCCAACACGATTTGCCCCTTTTTTTCGTGTTGCACAGCACGATTTTCTTTCGTGTTGCACAGCACGATTTTAAAAGCAATGTATTTCTACTGCTTGCAGCACGTCTTTTTCTCTGGTCGGGTCGAGGAAGACCTGAAGCTGTGTGGTTCATAAAAACATGTTCTTACTCAATATCAAGCCACAATTATTGCTTTTATTTTAAAGCGTATCATTTCGGACTTTTGTTGCCGTCTGTGAGGAAAATAAATGGGGCTCAGAGCCTCAGGATACTGAAATCTGTATTTTTTAAATATTTTTTTCCTTCTAATTTGTTATTCTTTTCAAAATAACACACTGTTATTTACTCACCAATAACACACAATTATGCTTGATTTTATTTATTGGTTTAATTCCATAATCTCGGGCTTTTTTGGCGTCCGTCAGGGACTGAATTTCAAAATAAAAATAACCGGACATAGGCATTACCCAAGATCCTCAGCTATGGTTTTAAGCTCGTTTATTGGATGTTTTAGCCGCAATGCATGCTGGGATTTGGTGTTTATATGATATGAAATCCGGAAAACATTTGTGTACCTTGTGTGCATCTAGTGGTTAAAGCACGTTATTGAATTATTGTGTTTGATTTAAAAAATATTAAGAGTACATACTTTCATAGGGGGAAAGTATAAATATAGAAATATAGAATATAAAAAATCAAGAAGATACTATAAAGTGATCTCTACAATAAAACAGTTTAGTGCAGCATGTACAAAGATATTAATAGGAGGAGGTGCAAAACAGAAAAACGAATTAACCTTTATTTAAACATTAAATAACAGATTAAGGTCTTCTTTTAAATAAGAAAAAAACGTTGGGGGTATCTATCTACAGATAAATATTAAGTCTGACAAAGTACTTAACGTCTAATATATTGCTTTCCTGCAATGTTAACTATGTTGAAGCACTTATTTTAACTGATATTATACATATGAATTATACTCGTATGTATGTAGATAGAATAAGAAATGTGCAGAATATGACAGTTTAATGGTGGAGGTTCACACATATTGATAGATGTCTTGTAATGCACTGTTGAGGAACCTGTGACCCAAGTGTTTCATTCATTGCATAACTACACCGTAGTTGTATATATGATATGTCAATAAACCTTTGAAAATCTTGAAAGGGATGTGCAAAATAGCCATAATATACAGTCTTTAATTAACTATTAGTAGAGAATAACGAGTAATGAATATACTTTATTACTCGTTTCCATTCATGTCAATTGCAGATAGATGTTCAGTCTTCTCAAGCACCAACTATCAAATATCTCTCCTGATTGTTGGCACTTGACAATCACCTTACCTGAATTTTACTCAGGTGTAACTAAAGTCTGATTTAAGGGTTGTTTATATTTCACATAATTAATCAGAATCTGCAAAGTAACTCAAATAAATGCAGTGGAGTAAAAATACCAGGTTAACCTCTGAATTGTAGTGGAGTAGAATTACAAAGTAACAATGAGCTGTCATGTGGGTATATATAGCGATGTTCACCCATTTATTAATTATAATAAATAATATATAATAGTTTTACATTTGATAACACCAATGTGTTTAATACTGGCAACTTCTAATTGTGGGGAAAACGAAAACGTTCAGTAGAGACGTCCCATAGAACATTTTGCGAAACACAATAGCCAGCATGTGTAGTTCTGGGGGGGCGTTCGATTCCAGTTTTGGATAGTCTGGCGTGGTTTCGTTCCATTTCACACAGCTGTTTGACGCTCTGCGTAACCTTACGGGGGACTGTAGTCCTAAACGATAGCTGGGGATTATGGGTAGTATAGTGTCTTCGGCCATCCTAAACTCAGAAAGGTTGACAATCGCAATGATGCTCGAAATGTCCCTTATAGTCCTACGTCTGTTTCCGGATATTTTATTTTGAAATTTAGTTCCTGACGGACGGCAAAAAAGCCCGAGATTATGGAATTAAACCAATAAATAAAAGCAAGGATAATTGTGTGTTATTGGTGAGTAAATAACAGTGTGTTATTTTGAAAAGAATAACAAATTAGAAGGAAAAAAATACAGATTTCAGTATCCTGAGGCTCTGAGCCCCATTTATTTTCCTCACAGACGGCAACAAAAGTCCGAAATTATACGATTTAAAATAAAAGCAATAATTGTGGCTTGATATTGAGTAAGAACATGTTTTTATGAACCACACAGCTTCATGTCTTCCTCGACCCGACCGGAGAAAAAGACGTGCTGCAGGCAATAGAAATACATTGCTTTTAAAATCGTGCTGTGCAACACGAAAAACAATCGTGCTGTGCAACATGAAAAAAAGGGGCAAATCGTGTTGGGGAACACGAATCAATAGATTAAAAATCGTGTTGGTGAACACGAAATGCCGTGAGACTGGGTTGGATCACCTGAAGTCCCGCCCACTGTTTAGCGAGCTGCATGAGAAACTGACGGGCTGTCAGGAGAGAGAGGGAGGGAGAGGGGAAAAGAGAGCATTCGTTTCTCCCGTGTTATTATTCAAAGTTAATGTAAACTTTTGAATAATGTACTTCATCTACTACAAGTAGTTTGTTTGAATGTAATAATTATGTTGTTTGTTGTTTGTGGAATCATTTATTGAAAAATGAATCTGAATTTTTTGATCTGTAACGATTATAGACTGAAGCAATATAAAAATGAGCCCCATTAACTGAGTTTTAAACATCAGCATATCCGGTCATAGTCCGGTGATTACCTGCTAACGGAAACTCTGCTACACAATTATTATTATTATTATTGAAACATGACCGGTGAGTTTCAAATGTGTCCGGTAAAATAAATTCTGTCCCGACATATCCGCTTACATTCATAATGTCAGCGGAGGGAGGGGGGGGCGGCGCTGTGGAAGAGCAGAGTGGCGAGGGAGAGCTGTCATCTTCCCTTTACAAGCTTCAAACATGTATTTATCGTGTGATTTTGGAAATAAAAATGTCATATTCTGAAAGCCAAGACTTTGTTTATTTAAAATCAAACAAAACACCCGATCCCCGAAAAACTATTTTTTTACGCAAATCCACATTTATTTTGAAATGAGCCATTGCGACTTTCGATTGATTTCGATAGAGCGGGTCACATATGGCAAATGTTTGGTTGTGGGGAACCAGGTCAATTAAAGTACTTATTTAACTATTAAATACATTGAGTTTGAGTAAAATACTTGGTTACTGATTAATGTAGGCTATAATATATGAAATTGCAAAGCAAAACTGCTGTAATTGATTTATTTTGTCCTTTGGTATTTTTTAAATTGTTTCAACCTGAAAGAATCCTAATGTGTCCTTGAAAAGTTGAAATAAAGAAAAGGAAAAAGGATTCCAGTTGTCCCTCAAGCCTCTCAAATGTTGGCAAACACTCAAATAAATGCCAAAAACCCAGAGAACTTGACAATACTTATCAGAATAAAAGTATGTTAAATAACACTGCTAGTTACTTTACTCAGTGGAGGCTCGTCCATTGAGGAAAGGGAGGACCATCCTCCCTACAATTTTAGAGAAAAATAGACTTTGAAGAGAACAATAAATACACCTCAATTTAAAAGATAAGTCTGTTAAAATACAGATAATAGCCCTGGCTTTGGGACTGAAATGGGGCTAGAGAGGACGAGCCTCCCTTTGGGCGGGTCTAGCCAGAGGCTCTGGATTGGGCGCCTATATCATCAGTGAACCAATCAGCGGATCTGACTGCGCATCAGAGTGTTGATGGGGAGGGTTATCAGCGATATCAGAGTTTTTTCTGAACCGGGGAACAGGGGCGCTGCGCCCTCTTACCAAAATCAATTCCTTGAATTAGGCTTTGATTATGTTCTGGCCCGCCATCTTGCGGCTCAGCAAAAAATTGGCCCACGGCCAAACTTACTTGCCTACCCCTGCCCTAGGTTTTAAAGTAAAAAAAAAACATGGCAATCTCTCTTTCCTTGTCTCCATCCCAGACATATTATTCTTATATCCAAGTGTTGTCAGCATGTCATGATGTGAAAGACAAACTGTATTGTTGTTGAAGAAGTTACTTGAAAGAAAAACAATCAGCTTGTCAAACACTGAATTGTCTTCAGGGTTTATTCAAAATATTTGAACACACACTTTCTCTCGTGCAGCTTGTCAGTGCAGTCATGTGGGGAATAACTGCGACACTAACACGGGGCAGTGCATCTGTCCTCCAAACACCATCGGAGAGCGGTGCGACCACTGCGCCCCCAACCACTGGGGCCATGACATCACCACCGGATGCAAGGTAGGCCGAAAACTGGACTTTAAAAGAGCAATATGAGTAACCTAAAGTATGTGTAGTGACATGTGGAGGGGCTTAAGCACACTGGAGGGAAGGCATGCAAAAGTAAGACATTAATTCACTGTATTTAACACAAGACAATCACAACATAAGTTTACTGTTTGTTTCTGAGTTATTTGATGCTGTCAGTGCTAATTAGATCCTGACTTCTGTTATTTCTAGGAGCAACATATACTTATATATGTTTAACAGTTTGGGTGTACTCAATTTAACATAATTGTCTTACCATATTAACTCTTATAAGTGAATACATATATAATCAAAGAAAAGCACGTAACGTTTTCTAGTTCCAGTCACAATTTTCACTTCAATAAGTCTTATTCTAGTTCTAGTCTTGTGTGTTACTTATTAGTCTTCTCTCATTTTTAGATTAATTCCCTTTTTTCTCCTGTTCTTATTTTCCATCCTCCTCTCCTTTCTCTATTCTAACCCCTTTCCTCCAATTCTCATTATCACATTGCTTGTTTAAAAAGCCATTTATCCTTCTTCTCTCTTCTTTATCACATCTCTTTCAGTGACTCTACATTCCCATTTCCTCTACTTCTCTGTTTCTTAACACAACTTTGTTCAAAGTGTTTAAAGAGTCATTGTTCTGCTCCGAAGCTGTCTCCACAAAGGGCCGCGAGGCAGAAATATCAATGAACTATTAGAAGTAGCAATAGAGTAATAGCAATTAGAGGCTTGAACATGGAAGCACAGGAAATCTCAGTTTAACAGCAGATTGATCCAGAAGAACATCAAGACAACAAAGAGGGACGCTGTGGATCTTAGTTGTTTTAAACAAACAAAAAAAGCACCAAAGACAACAGAAAACACAACAAAGCAGAGAGGTACCGACTAACAACAGTGAAGTACAACAAAATAAATAACAATCTGAGCAAAATAGATACATACTTCAGTTTGAACTCATTCAAGATTACATATAAATTATATTTTACACTTGCTAAACCAACATAAACACTGGAAATCAACACTCTGGGTCAAGGGTTTAAAATCACCTTTGGTTGCGGACACTCTGCTGTTATAAACATATAAAACACTTATTATAGAAAACTTTATTTATACCACAGTGGTTATCATTTCACAAACAAGGCATTTACAACTTATCAGTGTATAATAGTGCAGCTTTTGCTTGGCAGGGAAGGAATGATCACATTTTGATCAAGACATTTATCAATTGCAATAACGTCCAATATTTATATGCATTGGATTTGATAAGAATGTTATACCACCACGTCACGTCGGTGTAATCAGGTGGGGCTTTTAAAGTCAGTATTCTTACTCCGTTTATGCTTTCTGTACATTAACATTCCCATGTTTCCAGTTTGGACACGGCTATCCTTAAACATAAAAATCAAACACATATGGGCCACAATCTGCAGTAACGACGCCCTGACTCTGCTTCCATGCACTCTGAAAAGCAACTCGTATCAATAAAAAGAAACACACCTCAGATTGGACAATCTCAGGGTTGTCACAAAACAGAGCATCTGGAAAAAGTTCATATCATCGTGACTCATAGATGCAACACTAATTATCTCTCTGTGTGTGTGTGTGTGTGTGTGTGTGTGTGTGTGTGTGTGTGTGTGTGTGTGTGTGTGTGTGTGTGTGTGTGTGTGTGTGTGTGTGTGTGTGTGTGTGTGTGTGTGTGTGTGTGTGTGTGTGTGTGTGTGTGTGTGCGCAGGCGTGCGGCTGCAGCGTGGTCGGCGCGGTAAAGCAGCAGTGCAACATGAACACAGGGTGCTGCATGTGTCGAGACGCCTTCAGAGGAGAGAAGTGCATTGAATGTCAAATTGGATACAGAGACTTTCCTCAGGTAATTGATCTGAATGAACCGCAAGTATTACTATCATTATAATAAAGCTTCTTTCATTTTATTTAGATAAGAGAGGCTGGCACTTGAGATAAGCTCGTATTCCTGTGGCTCTAGGAGAAGGAAGAGAGATTTTTATAGACATGATATTGCTATTAATATAGTTTATATTTCATCACCAATGGTTCCTCACTTGAAAGATGAACACCATTCTGTGCAATACATATACTTCCATATAATATGAACGAGTTTAAAAATAAACAACATGGTAATGAAAAAACTCTGAAATGGCACCTGATTTTGAAGTTAAATCTTCTGACCAGCATGTCAGTCAAATCGTTTGAAAGTAGCGGAATTTCTTTCATTAGACTTTAAAAAGTGCATTCCTACAATAGCAATTCAATTTCATTTTGTATATTTGCTTAATTTATTTTCTCTATTCGAGGAATTGTGAAATGTCATTCATGAATAGCATGGCAAAGCAATAAAGAACTGAGGGAACCTGTTGAGGTATATAAACTTTTTTACACTTTTTGGATCTCTTAAGCTTCAGTCTAATGGGAAACTAATTCTTACTGTGTTTGGTGTTAGTCTGAACTTCAGTGATGTTTCCACTGACACACAAGTAAGAAGATAGTGGCAACATGTTCATTTTGGAGTGAAGTTTAATGGTTTGGTGAAGCATAAAAGCTTGGACACACTGTGCTGGTTCCTCTCTCAGCCTGTTGTGTTGTTGATAACAGCATCTTGGCGTGTTTCCCACAGTGCACCCAGTGCGAGTGTGACGTCGCCGGGTCGGACAGCCAGACCTGCGACCTGGAGAGGGACGTGTGCGCCTGCGCCGATCGGACGGGGAAGTGTAGCTGCAAGGTACACAAACTCACAAAATACACTTAACTTGTACTTCCTATGTGTTGTTAAATAGGGATTATGGACTTCATTTATTTTTATTTTCTGTCAATGCACCTACACCAACCTGCACAGAAGTATTTTGAGCATGCAAAAAAGTTGTGAACTGATTCAAAACATCCTATACTTTGAGTGTCACAAATACAAAAACAGCACAAAATATGATGAGTGTAGATGCTTCATTAACAAAGCAGTTTTAAACGTGAAATGTAAAAATATGCTTAAATATAAATCTTTGTGTCACAGAGAATCATTGAGCTGATTCAGAATAAATCCAGTATCCCAGTCTGTTCTTTTCATGCCAACCCTCAACCATCAATTTGAATCAATTTCTTTTAACTAGCTTCGATTAGTATTTTTTCCAAGTGTCATTTCAAGTAGCCTAAACAGAAGATTATTGACAGGTCTGCACTTCAACTTGAACCCTTCGAACATGAAGTTGGATAAACTGTCATTAGTCTTTGTTTCCAGCTAGAAAAACAAGGCAGCTGTCCTGCAATCCCAGCCACGGAAAGTAGCCCATGCTGTTGAATCATACTGCCAAAGCATGTTTTGAAGATGTACTGGAAATTAAAGTTGAGTTTGAGAGATTCAGTCTTTGAGGCTATAACTTATCCAGTGACCACTTACATTGAGAGTTGTCTTTGAGAATTTAGAGTGAATACATGTGTTAGAAACAGCACAAATACTATTTATCAGTTTGAAACCTACCAAGCATACATTTTTAATATTTTTAAATGTCAATGCAGATTTAAAAATGTACTTTAATTGTTTTTCAGTAAGAGTCTATGCATGTTTGTATTAGATAGACATATTATGTGTGTGTGTTGTGTTAGCGTGTAATTATTTGAGATCTGATTGCACGGTAATCTCTGCATGACAGCCCCCTTAGGCTGGCAAATACAAATAGATTAATGAATGCTACATACATGCTGTACATATACATTCACACTCTTTTTACCTCTGTCTTGTCTTGAAAGAAGACAGTTGAGAGAGAGAGAGAGAGAGAGAGAGAGAGAGAGAGAGAGAGAAGAGAGAGAGAGAGAGAGAGAGAGAGAGGAGAGAGAGAGAGAGTAAGAGAGAGAGAGAGAGAGAGAGAGAGAGAGAGAGAGAGAGAGAGAGAGAGAGGAGAGAGAGAGAGAGCTGGTTCATGACATTCAGGATGAAAGACACTATAAATCCCTATTACATTTGCAAACCAAACTAAATAAAAAAAACACTGAAAAATATCATTACTGGATTCGTATAGGTGTAAACATAATATATAGACACACTCACACACAAACTTATGTACACACTGATACACAAATGAAGCGTATATTTCACACCTCTCCATGACAAGTTGATCACATATCTGGCATGCACACCTCATCAGTAGCTTGCTGTCACAACTCACACACATACACACACACACACACACACACACACACACACACCCACACACACACACACACACACACACACACACACACACATGGATACATGTAATATATATCTCGCCTAGGACTGAAGACACTTTTCATCTCTGCTGTCACTTGCTGATCACAACAGCCACAAATGCTACAACATTTCTTACACACACACACACGGACCTGATTCATGGCCTGTGATGAGGCTTCAGATCACTCTGAACAGGAAGTAGGTGCACTGCCTGTCACTCAATCAGTAATTGGATATGTCACCTGTCTCTCTGCTCAATGTGTTTTTCTGCTATATGTGACGTGTTATGCATGTTAACTGTCTGTCTGTCTGTCTGTCTGTCTGTCTGTCTGTCTGTCTGTCTGTCTGTCTGTCTGTCTGTCTGTCTGTCTGTCTGTCTGTCTGTCTGTCTGTCTGTCTGTCTGTCTGTCTGTCTGTCTGTCTGTCTGTCTGTCTGTCTGTCTGTCTGTCTGTCTGTCTGTCTGTCTGTCTGTCTGTCTGTCTGTCTGTCTGTCTGTCTGTATGTCTGCCTGCCTGCCGGCCTGCCTGTCTGCCTGCCTGTCTGTCTGTCTGTCTGTCTGTCTGTCTGTCTGTCTGTCTGTCTGTCTGTCTGTCTGTCTGTCTGTCTGTCTGTCTGTCTGTCTGTCTGTCTGTCTGTCTGTCTGTCTGTCTGTCTGTCTGTCTGTCTCTCTTCCTCTCTTCCTCTCTGTCTCTCTGTCTCTCTGTCTAAGGAAGAATATGATGTATTTCCTTATGGATAACATATTTCTAAAATGATCACTAAAAGAGTAAAAATGTAAGATCCAAGAAATCAAATTGTTGACTCAGTGTTGAAGCTTGATTTAAAAAACCAACAACATTCACGCATGGTAGCCTCTCAAATATCTGTTTGATACGATCATAAATGTAATATACTGTAAGAAAAAAAAGAAAATTGTCACTCTTCAATATGTGAAGGATTTTCCTCAGTATTTAACAGGAGAAAAATCTATTAATTAAAAAATACTTTATGATTAAATAGATGATTTGCTAGTAAAACATAATGACCTCTTGTAACGAATGCTAATAATAAAAAGTACTAAAGTCAACGTTTTAGGTCCTTCAGTATAGCTTTACTCTCCTCTGTTGGTGCTGGTCCTGCCTCACTAACCTGCAGGACTTTTTGACAGAATTCAACATTAATTGGAGGATTTTTTGTTGACAGCACTGTGAGCTTTTCCTTAGGAGAGAGAGAAGGCTTAATACACAGACCTGTCCACAATCCCACTTTAGACCAGTCAGCTCTCAGCTTATTTACTCAAATTGTAAACAATTCAGTGTGGTGAGACAGTTCTCATTCATAACACTCCGTTCGATGTCTCACTATGGGATTGGGGTTGGTTGCATTATGTTGAAATAACTATAGGTTACTTACGTAACCCCAGTTCTCAGAGTAACATGAAGTGAGATGTCTCACTATGGGATGCGCCTCATCGCAGAGCAAACAGAAGCATCAATCTCATTATGCCAATCCTGATTGGCTGGTGATCTTGACGTCAGCGTCAGGGAATTCACCCCCTATAAGTAGCTTGCGCCACGACGCATGCGTCATTCAAACACCTCTTCTCGCTTCAGAGCACATCTCTATAGTAGCCGGACAAGCTTAACGGTCCACAGACTGAACCCAAATATAACCATTTCGGTCGACGGGCGCTCGCCGGCTACTCCTTCTGCTTTGCAGGAAGACGGTAATACTAACGCCAGTTAGTATTGAAATCGACCTCGCCGTTCTCTTTCCCCGGAAAGTAAGGTAGGTCTGATTTTTTCAAGCTAGCAACACACCTGTTGCTAGCTCGCTCCCTCACTATCGACACCACGGTAGCGAGGAAGCTTTTTATTTTCTCTTCCCCACGGAGGAGGAAAGGATTAAAGGAGCATACTGTCACACCAGTCAGTATTCTCCGGGAATAAAAGACCCACACCGTCCTTTTCTCCGGATTAAGGAAAGGGTGGTAACACCTTTTTTCTCCCAACTTACCTGTTGAGAGCGGGTCCTCTCCACGCCACGAGGCGAACAAGATGGACGCCTCTCTCCCTCACACCAGAGGAGTCAGGGACTCGGTGGCTCGACTCTGCGGCTGCGGGTTGAAGATCTCGGGCACAGACACACACCAGGTCTGCTCGTCCTGCCTCGGGCTGGAACACGCCCGAGGCGCTATCGACAACCCCGGCTCGTGCGGACATTGTGTCCGCTTCACCGTGAAGAGCCTCCGCCGACGGCTAGCATGCCAAGCTAGCCTGTCGGAGCAGGACCCCCCCATGTCCACTGACCTGCCGGCCGGCAGTCAAGACGCGGGGGCGTCCGCCGCAGAGAGTGAACCCCTCTCCGTGTCGGTCTGGGGCTCATTATCTGCGATGGCTGCAGAACCGGAATCCCGCGCCCTGGCAGGCCGGGACCCGGTGACGGCAAGACACGCGGGAACGGGACCCCACGCTTTACCGAGCTGGGGCTCCCGGTTAGACGTCACCATGGTCTCACCCGCGGAGGATGTCCTCGAGCTGGACTACGATGAGGACGAAGAGGACGCCTCGGTGTTCCTCCTGTCCGAGTCGGATGAACATGAAGAGGATATCTTCATGTCATCGGCGAGGGCTGCAAAGCCTGGAGCGAGGGCTGCTCTCCCAGGCGATAGCACACCAGCTTCGCCCTGTCTGAGCATGGACCTGCAGGCCGTGTGTAAACGCGCCGTGGCCAGACTCGACATCCCGTGGCCTGAAATGGCCAAGGAGACCTCCAGGTCCCGCTACGAAGGGAAACATTTTCCCCAAGCAGCGCGGACGAAGTGGCAACTCCTTCCGGTCTTCCCGGAGATGTTGGATGAGGTGTCGGTCTCGTGGAGAGACCGGCCCTTCAGCAACAAGGTCCCAATCCAGGGTGCCTCCTCCCTAGACTGTGACGGAATGGAGAAGCTCGGCCTGCTCCGCATACCGCCCATGGAACCGCTGGTAGCGGCCCACTCCTACCGAGGATGGACCCGTCACCAAGCAGGAACCCCACGCTGCCAGCAAAGTCGGACCGATTTCAGTCGACAATGACTGAACGGTCCTACAAAGCCGCAGCGTTGTCCGCCAGGGCCCTGAATGTGTCCTCGCTGCTAACCGCTTACCAAGCGGAGCTCTGCGAGGACCTGTCGGGTAACCCGGGGGCAGCCACTCTGGACTAGATGGCAGCGGTCACGGACATTTGTCTCCGTGTCCAACGCTGCGCCGTCCAGGCCACGGGCAAGGCAATGGGGATCATGGTGGTGCAGGAAAGAGCGAGATGGCTCAACCTCCCAGACCGGGAAATGGAGGATGTGCTGGATATGCCCATCGTTCCCGAGGGAATTTTCGGCTCCGCTCTCGCCTCCATGCAAAGGAGGTGTGAGTCGAAAAAGAAGGAGGACGAGGCACTCCACCTCTGCCTCCCTCGAAGGGTCCAGCCGCTGCCTTCGCAGCAGCAGTCCTTCGCCCAAGCTGCCTCGAACCCTGCTCGGTTTAAAACACCGAAGACGCAGAGGTCGCAGCCCGCCCCAAGTCCCCAGCCCAGGCTGGAGACGAGGGCGAGCTGGCCCAGAAAATCTCCGGTTCCGGCTGCAGCTCAGGCGCAGCCAACCCAGAATTTCGGCCAGCAGTCGAGGAAGAAGAAGCAAGCGGCGTGACAGCCCCTCCTTCTCCCCTCTGTGACAGAGCTGGAAGTCCACGGTTCCCCAGCTCTAAATGTGTTCCCACCGCCTCGAGAGATGCCTCAACACCATCCTCAAGTCCGCACAAACACATGTCACACATTTGTTGATTTTTCTGTCATAAAACATTTGCCGCTGACGCATCCAGGCTTCAGGCCGAGGGCGCAGCTCAAAAAAATGAAAAGAAAAACAATAAAACCAATAAACAGCCGTCAACTGTTCCCCTTCTGAGAGCAGCTACGGCATCTCTCAAAAGGCGGATTACAGGCGGGTCTGTGAAGGCACCACCGCCACGCGCATGCGCAGTGCCGGCTGGGGCTTTAAAGGCACCACCGTCACGCGCATGCGCAGTGCCGGCTGGGGTTGTGAAGGCACCACCGTCATGCGCAGTGTCGGTGGGGATTGTCGAAAAGGGGCACCACTGTGTTCAGACACTAGAGGGCCCCATAACACAACAAATAGAGACTCAGAGGGGAAGAGACGTGAGATCTCCACTGGCTCTAAGGAGCATGCAGTGGAAGATGCTCACATCATCTGCTTGGGTTTTCAAGACAGTAACACGGGGCTACAGACTCCAATTCGCTGTCACCCCCCCTCGCTTCTCGGGCATTCTGCATTTGCAGGCCTGAGGAGAGTCAGCCCATATTCTGGAGAGAGAGATTCTCTCACTCCTAGAAAAGAGGGCTATATCTATTGTACCCGCCGAGCAGAGTCAGAACGGCTTCTATTCCAAGTACTTCCTCGTTCCCAAACGGGGAGGGAACGGAATTCGGCCAATACTTGATTTGAGGGCTCTGAACAAATATCTAAAAAGATATAAGTTCAGAATGCTCACTCACACATCTCTGCTGCGGCTCGTGCGACAAGACGACTGGTTTACATCAGTCGACCTGAAAGATGCGTATTTTCACATCCCAGTATATTACCCACACAGGAAATATCTGAGATTCGCATTTCAGGGGATCTGTTATGAATACAGAGTACCTGGAGCTTTTAGCGGTGTTTCTCACCCTAAAACGCTTTCTGCCTTTCCTCAGGGGACATCACGTCCTCGTGAGGACAGACAATACGACCACAATATCGTATATTAACCGCCAAGGGGGTTTGCGTTCTCTCCAGTTACACACACTGGCGCGCAAACTGATCCTATGGAGCGATAGACGTCTCCTCTCTCTGAGAGCGACGCACGTACCGGGAGTGATGAACCTCGGGGCAGATCTACTGTCCAGAGGTATAACACTTTATGCAGACTGGATTCTACATCCAAGGATTGTGAGCCAGCTGTGGGTGCGTTACGGCAGAGCCGCGGTGGATCTGTTCGCATCGAAAGACAACGCTCAGTGTCAGCTGTTCTTTCGATGCACGATCTAAATGCACCGTTAGGCGTGGATGCACTCGCGCACGATTGGCCCCCGGGCCTTCTGTACGCGTTCCCACCCCTGGCTCTGATACCCCCAACTCTGGCCAGAGTGAGTGAGCAACGCCACCCACTTATCCTGATAGCTCCGCACTGGCCAGCTAGCGGAGATATATCAGCTGCTGTGCGGGCAGCCATGGCAGCTCCCACTACGCAGGGACATACTGTCCCAAGCGGGGGGGGGCGATCTTTCACCCACACCCAGAGTGCTTGGCTCTATGGCCCTGGCCCGTGAGTGGTACAATCTGAATACAGTGTGACATGAAGCTGACCCTGGCAGTTGCCAAGCGAGCCAGTGGCACTCATGCACTATCTGTACAGTCTTCATGCACTCAGTTCGCCCCAGGGCAAACAGAGTGTGGTTGAAGCCCAACCCTGCCTTTATCTTAAGGCGGTTGGTTCAGGTACCACATTTGACATTGAGGCATCCTCCCCGCCACTGTATTCCTCCGGGGAACAGCGGCCGGATTTGCCGTGTCTAGCCCGTGCTGTCACGCACGTACAGGGACAGATCAAGGGTGCTTCGTCATAATGACCAACCCCTTGTGTCCTGGGCTAACCCTTATAAGGGCAAGCCTGTTACTAAGCAACGGCTCTCCCACTGGTTTGTGGAAGCAATTGCTTTGGGGCCCATACGAGTCAGAGTTCGCAGGCACCCTCGGGTCCGCGAGCTCTTTCGACTCAGGGTCTGGCTGCATCCTGGGCTCTGTCCAGGATGTCTCCCATCCAAGACATTGGTGCAGCGGCGAGCTGGTCCTCGCCGCTCACTTTTGTCCGCCTCTTAACAGGCTGGACGTTCTGCTCCCAGTGTGACTCAAGCAGTGCTGGGCAGCTGGTTGAGTCAGAGCTCTATCTGTTAAGTTCTGGTTGGTTTGGTGATTTTCGAGATAAGCTCGTCTGACAATACGGGAGCTACAATTTCCCATAGTGAGACATCGAACGGAGTATAGGTTACTTACGTAACCCCAGTTCTCAGAGTAACATGAAGTGAGATGTCTCACCAGACGGCCCTCCTTGCTATGATGAAGAGAGAAGAGGTGCTTATTTTGAATGACGCATGCGTCGTGGCGCAAGCTACTTATAGGGGGTGAATTCCCTGACGCTGATGTCAAGATCACCAGCCAATCAGGATTGGCGTAATGAGATTGATGCTTCTGTTTGCTCCGCGATGAGGCGCATCCCATAGTGAGACATCTCACTTCATGTTACTCTGAGAACTGGGGTTACGTAAGTAACCTATAGTTATTTCAACATAATGCAACCAACAAAAATGCATTCTCTATGTAGTATTGCTTACGTGTATTTTAATAGCTCAAATATGTGATGCAGAACATTGAAAATAGCAACCAATTATTTCAATATGGACAAAATAAATGTTAATGGCAAGATGAACAGGTGTGTGGACACGATGTTAGAGAGACACTTTTTCAGTACAGGGTTTTAGGCTCAGACTTTAATCTTACTATGTCCTCCTGAAGTTTCCCTATGCAAGGTATTAAATCCCAAAAGCTCTTCAGGAGTGCTTTTCCTAAGCTCTACTGTATCTGCTTTCTGACCTAAAGCAGGGCTAACAAATCTACAGAAAGCATCACATTGTATTAAATCTATATAAAATGTGTTGGTGTAATAAGAAGCTATGGATTCATTAATCTAAGAAAACAGAGAAATCAAGGGACGCTTTTAAGAGATGTTGACATCCTCAGTAAAGTGGGATGCTTTTAAGAGATGTTGATACAAAGATACAAAAAAACAATTAATTTCTCATAACTGGCAAATGTCCAATGAGCTTTTTTTACTTTCAGACTATGTTTAGTTCACAGGATCAAGTTTCACAAAATGATAGATATTGATCATCAGTTGAGTGAATATAGCTCCTTTAAATGTTGTCCCCACTTCCACTACAATGTTTAAAATAACTTGAAAATGTTTACAAAAGAAATCACAAAAGCTTTCCTCAACTCTGTGTGCTTGCCTGTGTTTGTTGTTTTAGGCAAATGTGGAAGGACACAACTGTGAACGCTGTAAGTCCGACACGTTCGGGTTGTCGGTTCGAAACCCTCTCGGCTGCAGCGACTGTTACTGTTACGGTCTGACCAGCTCCTGCTCAGAGGCTCAGGGGCTCATCAGGATGTGGGTGAGTGAATCTTAGCTTTTTACATCCTTACTGTCACTGTATTTTCTTTATCGGTTGTAGGTTTAAGTAATAGGCAAATAAAAAAGTATAGGAACAAAGCACAGTTGTTAAAAAACGGTTGTCATCACAGATATTTCATCTCCACTCACACAAGTGTTTACTACTTGCAAAACACACTTACTGCCCTCTCAACCCTAACAATAAACACACAAATGCACACACAGACACACTCAAACACACATACAAAGACACGTGTCAGAAAAGCAATACAGTATATACTGCAAAGGCTTTCCGGTAACACTTTATATTAAGGTACACAAATTAACCATCAACTAGTTGTTAATTAACATGCATATTAGCAGTATATTGGCTCTTTATTAGTCAGTATTAAACACTTATGAATGCTTTATTCTACATGACCATATCCTACAAGTAATAAGCCATTAGTTGAGAGTTTTCCTCAATAACCCTCTAATTAGTGCTTATTTGTTGCAAGTAAGGAAGTTGTTGTACATGAGTTTTGGTCTTAATATGCGCTGCTCAATAAGGGTCTAATAAGGCAGTAGTACCACAAGAATAGTAATTCTCCAATAATAACACTTAACAAATATGATCTATTCTTATGTAACAAGACATGAAACTATAAGTGTTAATTGTGTCTAAATAACTCAAAATTAGGTATTTATATCGAAGAATATGTTTTAGGGTATTGACAGTTCAGCTACCAATAGCAAGGTGATATTGACCTGTATGTTTCATATTTGCACATTTATATTTTTGTGACATTTGTACTGAAGGTTAGACCCGGGTACAGGAAGTAGGAGAACGTGAACTGAATAGCATGGCAGTAGACTGCTACTAATTTTCCCTATGCAACCTGAAGAGTAAAAGCGTCAAGTTCGTCAGAAAGCAATGACTGTACAACACATAACATTACTGGCTAATAAAGAGCCAATATACTGCTAATATGCATGTTAATTAACAACTAGTTGATGGTTAATTTGTGTACCTTAATATAAAGTGTTACCGGCTTTCCTATATTACCGGTATATCTTTTTTTAAAGTATTAGGTAACTGTTAGCGACACCTTACTGTTTTTTATTTATTTATCTTTATTTGTTTTAATTTTGGACAAATATCAGACGGAGATGGTCGCATTGACTGCAGTGAAAATTAAACTGGATGAATCTGTCATTACATTCACTAAGAACATTTGATTTTGACTCCACAAATGTAAATGCTGCATACACAATGGTAATTAACTAAACTGGTCGATGAAATATTCACTTATTGAGTCCACACCCTAATGCAGGGGTGTCAAACTCAATTTTATCACGGGCCACATCAGTATTATGGTTGCACTCAAAGGGCCGGTTCTAACTTTAAGACCAAAAATACATATATAAATATTGAATATATATAAAATAATGTATTATATTACATTATTGCCTCTGCATTGGATTATTATTATAACTTCATAATTAACTACGTCTGAAAGCAAGTCTAGGGCAAATAATTGCAAGTCTCTTCAGTGAGAATGTCACAATATGATTTTAAAAGAAAAGCCACATTCTGGAAAAACAAAAAAAAAGAATTGACATTTTGAAAAAAAAGTTATTTTTTAGAAAAAGGCACATTTTAAGAAAAAAGGCATATTTTGATGAGTCAAAAGTCAAATTCTGAGAAAAAAATCTAATTTGAGATGCATTGTGGGACATGTCGTTTATGGGCAACGTGCTTCTGTAAAGTAGCATGTAACCGTATAATAAACATATTATATTCTTTACAAGCTCTTGTGGGGCCACATAAAATGAAGTCGCGGGCTGGATTCGGCCCCCGGGCCTTGAGTTTGACATCCCTGCCCTAAAGTATATGAAAGTTTAAAGGAGTGTTTCCTGGTCTGGATCCCTCCTGTCTCTGATGTGTTATCTGTGGATCTAACCAGCAGTTTCCTATTAGCTTCACTCTCTGAACACGCTCTCGGTGCCAGCTTCATGCTGAGACAACACATTTGACAGCTGGCTGCCTACAACTGACTCTGCATTATGCCAACGTTGTGAGCTTCATGTCCTTCATTAATCATTATCTATGGATAATTAGAGGTTTGTTCAAATATTTAAAGTTCTCATTTTACTTGATTTTCTGCCCAGTAAAAACTGAAGCCGCAGCGATTATATAGTTGTGCTGTATTTGTGAATATTGGCACCCTTTCAAATATCTATTGCATCCAATTCAATGCTGTATCTAAATGTGGGACACTATGGGATGATTTCTACATATGTTGATTTCAAGAGGATTTCCCTAAAGGAAGGGAGAGAGGTGTGACTTATTGATATCATTAAGTGTGACTTACACTTTCAAAGGATTTCACTATGTCTCTCATGTCAATTGCTAAACGTTGAAAAATGACGCTTCAAGACTGTTCATCCAACCATACTTTAAAAACATGTTGGCACAAACATGGAGCTGAAAGGAGCCCATTTTATGAGCTTTAACATGGTATCACTATCCTGATGGCTAAAACAAATATGTTAACATTGGCTAATTTGCAGTGAAAATGAAACTGGATGAATCTGTCACTACATTCACTAAGAGACAATTTAGGGACTGCTGCAAAACAACCATTGGAACATTTGATTTTGACTCCACAAATGTCATGGAAATCAAGACAATTGTTGCGGAGTTTTCACTCAAAAGCACACATTTCAATATCATGGTGGTGCAAGAGGAAAACTCAGGAGATCAACAATCCATGTATGTCTTTAAAAAAAAGTTGTTTTAATCCATCTGGTAGATATTTCACGTTTGTGTGCAACTGAAAAAATCTGGGAATGCTTGAGAAAAAGTCAGGTGACCGCCAAAGTCAGTAGGCCTTATCGTAGCCTGGCTTATGGATCTGATGGCTTCTAAACATCAAGATAAAACCAGAGGGTGAATATTACAGATACCAGCTGTGAGTCAGAAACAGACGTACATAAGTGCGACACACACCATCACACACCATGTCAGTAAGTTATTCGATCGGTGAGCAGCAACGCGTTTTTTAATAAAGCAAGGCCCTTCATCTCAGAAACAGTTGCCAACGGCGGTTAACTGCCGTTTCCGTGGTAACCGTGGTGTTTTGTGATGGAGTGTGGTGAGAGGCTTCATTTGAATGACAAACATTCACTTCATTTATTGTTGACAGAGGGAGAGGGGGAGCTGGACAGGCAGAGAAAGACAGGAAAAATAGAGTTTATTGGAAAGTGGGAGATTTTCTCTGAACCACTGAATCGTGAGATTACACTGAGTGGAGTGGGACACACACACACACACATACATACACACACACACACACCATATCTAGTAGACACCCTATACACACACACACACACACACACACACACACTATATAAACACAGTACACATGCCTTCACATACCAAAACACACAAAAACTCACACTAGGTGGATTACATGGAGGTTAGAGGACACACACACACACACACACACACACACACACACACACACACACACACACACACACACACACACACACACACACACACATACAGCCTATTTTGTGATATTTATCTTTGATAGCAGAACTTTTTGTGTGATTGGACGACTATTGACTGGTTGTTAAATACTGCAGTAAAGATCTGCACTAGTATAATGAAGTACAAATATTTCAAGAACTGAGATAAGATGAAAGCACTGATAAGCAACAGAAAGTAAAATAACATCAAGAGGACTCTACTCTTAAAGGATGGACATGTGGAAGGATTTTCTTAATGTTCTTTAAAACTATTGTGTACATTTTTAATTCATCCGGTCACAGAGGACTGAGTTAGAAAGAAAGGAAAGGTTAAAAAGAAAGGCCTGAACATGTGAAATGGTTTACTATTATCTGTTAATCAAGCTTTATAAGAATATGATATATTTGCTCTTCATGAATAAAAACAAATACTTATAAATAACAGAAACAGATAATAAGGTCAGCAATGTATTCAATGTCTATGTCTGATTTGTTTGACATCGCTAGGAAACACTTGCACTTCTATTGGCTAACTTCCAACACATTGTACGTGATATGCTACGGGGCGGGACATCTTTAAGTGGTTGACCAATCACAACAGAGCCGGCCAGCTAACCAATCAGAGCAGACGGGGCTCTGGTTTCAGACAGAGGGTGAAAACAGGCAGTATGAGAAAAATAAAGACCTTTTTGAACATTAAAGCATGGAGACATGTCACAGTAGAGGCACAAAATATAAATATGAACCTGACAATTAACTTATTAGAGCTCCTTAAGAAATTGCTCAAGCCAAATTGTCTTCTTTTATTCAAGGATTGATATTGAGATATTATTTCTGAAATAAACGTCTTTCCATTCTCAATATATCTTGAAACTGATGTTGACACTGTCAGTAATAACTCAAATATGATCACATAGTGGAGTGTAAGAGACAGTCTGGAGAGAATCCAGCCCCTTCCTCTCATTCTCTCTATCCCACTTTTTATGTTGGTAATTTTAATATCACTTGAATAATATGAGGGTTTATTATTGACTGAGGTTGTGGCTGAGTGGACTGATTCAAAAATAGATTCATCCGCTGCAGTCTGGATCTCTCTGTCTCTGCTATGCTGTCGTCCAGCAGAGCTGATATGTTGATATTGTGTGAATAATATCTGAGGCATTATGGAAGAGTGCTTTTTGGTTAAACGAAATATATGAAGTTACTTTAGCCTGGACGGACTGCATAATAGAGAGGCAGTCACACGTGGAATGAGAAAAAGCTCATTTCCGTCTGAAGTATAACTTAAAATGAATTGAGTTCCAACATTTACAGTATATACTCTAGGTTTCTCTTGGGAAATGTGCTTGATGCAGCTATGAAATAATAAGTAACAGGAAGAAAATGACAAGAACTGTCATTTCATGAAATCGAAATTTGACACAACATACAGCATTAAAAGAAGGGAGGGATGTTCTAAATCTCAAATATGGAAAGAAATGATAC